CAAATTGATGTGAACTCTCCAAGCTCTTTCTTGGACTGTAATATTCAAGAAAAAAAGTTGATGATATAAGAAAAAAAAAAGTAGAGACTTCTTTGAATATCACTTTAAAACCTCAGGGAAAAATTATTATTGTTGTTTAGCTAAAATGGACTCACTGAAGGTTATTTATTTCATGTTCCTTAAAGCTGATGTATTTTTGATGAAGTACATTTTAGATTAGGTTTGGCAGGCTGAGGATTGTTAAATCACAACATATACAAACAAAAACCGAGTTTGGTGAGCAAGAAATACAAAACAGTATAAACAAAAGTTTTGCTGGCTGAGTCCAGTTGTTTTTCTCCCAAAGCAGCGATAGATTTCCAAAACATCTAAAATTATCTAGAACTTGCTCTAACAAATAATGCTAGAGAAAAAGCCTTTCTAGTATAAATTACATGCTCCACTCAATGAAGGTACAGCTCTATAGCCAGCAAAATTGTTATTACAGCATCTGAAATGTACACATTATGTGTTGCTCAAAGGATTTCCAAATTTCCAAGTTGGCAATAGATTTAGAAGCCAATCTTCCTTTGGAAGGGAAAGAATCAAATATTTTCTTGTAGAAAAGCTACAGATTATTTGTATAAGTTAAAGGATAAGGTTAAAATGCTAGACAAATATCAATTCCAGTTTTCTATATGCAGTGCACAGGTGCAACTTGAACAGCATATTATATGGTATAATCATTAAATTCATTCAACCAGACCTTAGAGAGTTAAAAACATATATTCTGAGGAACAGGACTCCTCGGTCCAAAGGATGAGAATGAAACAGTGCAGAATATTTGTGTATCAAGGTGATTCCAGTTTCCAACTGGGAAAACAGGACTGTTAACACCCACATCCCCTGACAACTGTCCAATTATGTATATCACACTTGGCCTACTGTTTGCAGTAGAAGTAATCAATAAAGGATGTGGTTGAGTGAACATAGATTTTGGTTGAACCAATGCATGAAAACTTAATCATTTACTCAGAGAGAAGAAATCAAATAGAGCAGAGATGAAACAGCCACTAAGGGGATTGTTGATTGTGCCACCAAGTTTGTGGGCCACAGATGAAAGTAATAAGGCAAATGGAATCAGTGACAGGAGAAAATGTAAAAAGCTATTCTTAATTTCATGAATTAATAGAAATGTTTTGATGTATTTTTGGGGGGTCATTTTTAGGAAATTTCGCATCAAAGCCCGGATGTTCCATTTTAAAGAATATATGAAAATTACTAGGGCATGTCATTTCTCTCAAGCAAAAAGAAATTAATTTTCAGCTGTAACAGAAAGGTAATTTTCACACTTGAAACTTTGTACTGATTGATTGAAAGATCTCCACTGTGGAAAGTTTTCTAGGAAATAATTTAACCCGAGTTTGCAAGAAAATTTACAATGAGTATGGAATAAACCCAGAGGTAGGCTAGTTGTGACCAATGTGTCTTGACCAATTCTCATTTTGGTGATTTTTTCCCCTAGATTCTTTTCAAAAGTCATCCTGATTATTTGGAGAGTCTCAGCATTTCAGTAAAATGAGTTATTTCAGTAAATGAAGCAAAAAAAAAAAATGCCATAAAGAAAACTGAGGAATTTTGCTCTCTGTATTTACTCAAATTGTCTGCCTGTGTTAATAATAATATTTACTTGGTAATTTCTCAACTCACTCTCTCTTTGTTTTATGGACCATAATTCTGGCTTTTATAGCTGTGTTATAGGCAATTTTTATCATTTTAGAATATCAACCCCTCCTTTTTTTCACTAGTATTCCAAGTGGGGTGGGAAAAGACATTGTAATGCTTATTTTCTGTTATGCTCCTTAACCCCTTGTGCAATTAATATTATTCAGAAAAACAGCAAAAATAACAAACACCGTTTGCTATTAAAACCTTCATCAATAGTAACTCTAATGGCATGGCTGGGTCCAGCATTACCAAATGGACAACTCCATATTACCAAGTCCTTAGTCTTGAGGGAATATGGTGTGTTTTTCAACTGAAGGCTTAGTATAAATTCTTATAACCATTTTGAAGCTTCTAGCCTTAGAGGTTATTCACCTTTCATGCATGCTCAGCTGATAGCCTTAGATACACACTTATGCTAGACATGGCTATCCTCGTCCATTTCCTTCAAAGAGATAAAATATATTTATAGAGATAGGGCTACCATTAGTGAAACTTGTGCAATTGCACAGGTTAGGAAAAAGAGATTTAGAGAAGATGTCAAGCTTCACGGGCCGCTTGATTTATTTCGCCGCTGCCGCTCCCATCATTTCCCCTATTTTGGTTGTGCTTCATTTCTTGCATGTTGCTGCTAATCTGAGGGCAGTTTAGGACCATGAAAGGGATGCGCGTGTGTGCACGAAAGGTGCCCTTAAAGTGAAATTTTTAAAAAATGACCACAAAATTTGTATCAAGGCATTTTGAGTCATCAGTGGATTTGATTTAATACGTCTTCTTAGATAACTAGGGTGTGTTGTCTATCTGAAGAGAGTGTTTGTTTTTGAAACATCTGTCGCTTGAGTTATTTTGCACAAATGGTAAAAGAATATGATGAGGCTTACACTCCCCTGAATGCTACTCCACAACCACCAACAATGCTGCAAAATGGTAGATTTGGATTGGAAAGCTTGCAGTGTCCCTGGGGTACTTCTTCCCTACGGCTCCAGAAGAAGCATCTCCTGTATTCTCTTGTATATTACATAACATTATAAAACTAAGAACCCAGTTCTGCCATACAAATCATTGATGGCTTCACCGGTACTTAGTAGATGGGAATTCTTATAAGTGGAATTTGTTTCATTGGGTATAAAAATGAGGTGGGGATTAATCTTCCTGCCTGTTATATGTTTGCCCCAAGGCAGGTTCCCAGACTGTTGGGATAGAATTTTCCCCATCCCTGCCAAAAACATACCCTACTTTGTGATACATCAAATATAGCTGTATCCTTTTCCACATCTAAGCCCCAAGTAACACTTCAGCAACCAAATTAAAACATTAAATTGTCTATTATTTTTGCCAATATTTACCAGATTGTTCAACTCTCCCCTTAGCTTTTACTGTATAGACCAGGAATTCAGATCCTTGAGTGGAGATTAAAATATTCTAAGAGAGACACTTGTCTTTAACAGGTGAGAATTATTTTAAGATAATCTCATGCATCCAGAAGTTTAAGAAATAAAAACTAACAGTAACCAAAGCTGCATTCCAACCCTTATGACATAGTAAGTGCTCAATATATGTTTATAAGGATTTTATTTATTTATTTGAGAGCGAGAATGAGAGAGAGAGAGCATGAGAGGGGGAGGGTCAGAGGGAGAAGCAGACTCCCTGCCGAGCAGGAAGCCCGATGCGGGACTCGATCCGGGGACTCCAGGATCATGACCTGAGCGGAAGGCAGTCGCTTAACCAACTGAGCCACCCAGGCGCCCCTCAATATATGTTTATAAAAGAAAATATTTTCCCCTGGAGTTTTATCTCTTTAGTCATGTTGGAACACATGTCATTTTGTAAATATTATTTTATAAACATGTTAAGGGATGCATTTATTTAACTGTATAGGTTTAGGCCAGGTCTGCTACTATAAAGCAAGACAAATACTCCAACCATTTTCTACTAATTCTGGGCCATGTTAACAACAGAGTTAAGTAATTTAATGATCAAAATGAACTGCACCAAAGGACAAAGAATTGGTGTGTTACAAATAGACATTAAATTGAAAACTTATAAATCTCTTCTTTGTGTTCAAACATCTGTTTCTTTCCAGTTGTTACATGGAAAGTAAACGTTTAAGGGATAGCTGGGTTGATTTTCCACAGGCTAGTTACCGATCTCTACTTGGAAGAACCACAACACTCACAGGTTGCTTGCTTTACCCATGGCTGGCCCCGCCTTCCTGGAGTAAACAGCCATACTTTCCTTAGAGATACATCTGTGTCCCTAACCACTTACCCAGTGATGACTGCATTGTCTTTTATTGGGAATTTTGAAGGGACTTTTCATTCCGTTGGCATGGGTATTTTAATATTTAATTATTTATTTAATTATTAATGATTATTATATTGGCAGTGGTAATTATGTAATGATGATGTACTTTCAGTTCACTAGACATTTAATCTTTTAAATGCCTTTTAAATAACAATTTTATCTTTTAAAAACACTACTTTGTATGTGTTTACAAGCTGAAATACAGGAATTAGAACTTGACATAATCTGTATCTGTTCTTTTTCTTCTTCTTACCACTACTAACTACAACTTCTACCAGCACCACCATTATTAAAAAGCCATCTCTTGGGTATAAGATAACATACCAAAAACCAAGGCCTTAATTTTGATAACTTTCCTTATTCTACCTTGAAGTAAATAATAACATTACAACATAATGCGATAATTAAATGGAGTACACAATGATCACAGTATGAGTAAAGGGCAAATCATATGTTTTCCACGGAAAATCTTGCTGTTCAGGTATACTTATATTAAATTTTCTGTTTTAAATGAAATAGAGGGAATATTGTTCTCGCATTCAGTTGTTTATCCAGATATGTACGCTCAAAGGAGAGATGTCTTAATGGAAGAAGCAAGACTGAAGCATAAATGAAAACTTTCCTCCAAGAAGAGCTCCAGAAAGGTTACGCTGAGCCACGGTTACTGAAGCGTACTATATATTTCTGTGCTCTCTGCTTTTTTAACCTGTGAGATGTGACCTGATTTTTCCCTTTCATTCAAGGTCATCACTAAACTTACAGAAAATCAAAAATAAAATAGTACAAAGGAGGAATAGACAAAGGGGAGTTTAGGTGCATATTTTAAAATACCACATTGGTTTAAAATAACTTACGATGAAAGGGTCACTTAAGAAGGGCACTGCTTAAAATTTAAGCAGGCAGTAATGGAAAGCGACAGACCTCAAACAATTTAAGTCTTTCACAGCTGAGTGAATTCACAGTGACAGCAAGACAAGGATGTGCTAACTTACCTCTGCAGGACCTTGGCTATTGCTTCATAGGCTCTCCCCAGGCTGAGATCATCATCCAGGTCTGTGGAGATTTTACTGTAAGTGTTAAGGACCTATCAGGAAAAGAAATACGTATTAAATATACAGCAAGGCCAGATTCACTGATGTTTCATTTCATAACAGAAAAGATGAAAATTAATAGTTGTTTTTAATGTCTCCATAAAATATTTTTTGTTTATTAAAAATTCATGTTGGTTTGGTTTATTTTTATCTATAGCATAACTTGTTTCACAGCAATGTCTTTAAGCCATGACAGTGAGGTCTTACTTTTGTAAAAATAATTCTTTTCTTGCACAATCCCAAATCTTCCAATTTATAGAACTTAGGTGTGAATAAATAATTGAATGGTTCACAACATTATTTTAAAATATGGTACTATTATCTAAGGTAATAGAAGGCAGATTATAATATTCTACTGGGGTAGCATAAATATCACTTTTCTTTCTATAAATAGCTGTTTTGAAAAGCATGAATTTAGGTGCTAGGCAATTTCTAAATCTATCATTTTATTAGAAGCATATCTCATAGTTTGTGCATGGATTCGGTATACACTAAAAATATTTCTTAAAAATGTACTTCATTACCAACAATCTCTTCAATAATCAAAAGATTATGGCTGCCACCGCCAAACATTTGATCTTAATTTAATTTAACACTGACACCGTCTTTATGGTATAATTTCCCTTTTTATTCTTTTTCTCTTTCAGTGGCCAGAAGGAGGAAAATATGTAAAACAAAATTCCTATTCTTTCCTCTTCCTTCATTGTTACTTGACCCAACCTATTACACACATGAGGACACAGGAAATCTCCAAAGACCTCTATGGAAATCCTTTTTGCACATTTTCTAAAACAGAATTAGTGAAAGTCATTTGACAGAGTTCAGAGAGAGAGTCAGGGTGAGGGAGGACGTAAATTCGCGCTGTTTGCTACTGCCTGAATTAGGCAGCTTTGAAGATTTAAGTATTAGAGGCAGTGTTGATATTTGACTTTACTTTCTTAAGGTTAATATTTGGGAAATAATTTCAATGAGGCCATCATGATACCTCATAAAATTTGTTTTTGTTTTTCTCTGTGTGTGTGTGTGTGTGTGTGTGTGTGTGTGGTTTATAAGTGACTGCTTGCTAGAACGCTGGTATCAAAACTTACTGATACATATTGATCCAGGGTTTTCATTCCTGTTAAACCTGCAAAGTTCAAAATTTTGATTCCTATTTTTAAGCCTCTTAATATGCCTTGTATAAACCTGAGAATAGTCTCTTCACTTTGTTTTGCATAACTGACAACACCTACATTAAGTCTGATATAACTTGACATAGACCTTTCTGAGTGAAGGGGCAGAATTCATGAATTTTGTGAATTTATAAGAGACCTTATTGAATCCAAATATCAAAATATTTAGAAAGAGACCTTCTAGTGTCTTTTTTGGTCCATACATCTTTATATGACATTTTAGAACTTCAAGATTGAATATTATTATACTTCCTGCCAAAAAGAATTTGTTCATCCCACAAATATCGTTACTGTGTACCAGGTGCTATGTTAGACCCTAAGAAATCTTAAATAGAGGGGAACATGCTTGCAGCCCTGACGGCATTTACAGTCTTGTGGCACAGAAGTTTGGTGGACGCACTGTGCGATGACTGGAGGCAGGATTCCCCAGGGCTTATACCAGGCTTATCTTGCATATTCTCCCGTGCCCCTGGCCACCTGGACCGTACAGTAAGTATGCGCAGGCACCCATTATCTTAGGGGTATGACTCTCTACCCTATGGATATGAAGGGTAAGTATCCAAGAAATTACAGGTAAATACTTCAGTGCTGATGACTTCTATCCCACAAAAGTGTGCAGCATTTCCTGGAAGGAGCAGGGGCAAAATCGAGCTCAGTCTGGGCTTTTGGTTTGGGCCTCAGACGTGACTCCATAGAAGCTTCCTCCGGGAGCCAGACGTGGTCTACTGGAATGAACACTAACTTGAGAGGAAGAAGACTTAGATTCAAGTCCTAGTTCTTTCACACATTTGGTCCAGGAAAGCTCCTGGAGAAGCTTTCCTCAGAAATGAAAAAGAAAACCTGCTTCTGAGAGTTGTTGTGAGGCCACGAGGAGGTAATATAGAGTGCTGTGTAAGCCACAGGACAAGATTCTTTGGGAGTCTGTGAACCAGCCATTAGTGAACAGCTCCTCATAGGGGCCTCCCTCCAAAGTAAAGGCAACACATTTTAATTTGTGGCTTGAGAGAGTTCATATGTCACCTCCCACATTTAACCTAAAAGCAGGTACCATATGGGCAGTAGGAAGCATTTAGTTCATTACTGGCCCAGTAAGGAGACAATGAGTGACATGAAGCCCAAAGTGAAGACTTACAAAGTGCCAAAGAGGAGCCCATCTAAATCAGACAGGACCTCTGCTCCTCAGGAGTGTGAGCTCGAGTGGGAGAGAGTAAACGTAAACAGGTGAATCACAAGGAGAACACAAGGCAAAATTCAGCAGATTGGGGAATCCTATAGTCTGATCTATGGGTAGTAGAAAGGACATTGTTAAAATACAAGGGAAAAACTCATAAAAGTGGGAAAATAACATGAGATTACTAATTGTGTAGAAAATAAAGATGTTTTATATTGCTCTTATGGTAAGCTACCTTACCTGCTTTTTAATTAAAGTAGGCAGGGTGTAATTTACAAATGAATAAACATTAATCAATTTGAGTCATTAGACAAATAGTGGAATTTTTTTTATAAAGAATACTTCAAGTGAGAAAATACAGTGTGCAATCTGAGGGATCCACTGTACTTGACCGAATATCCCTTGGACAAGCATATGTTGGAAACAAATGCAGGATCTGCAACATTAAATTCTATCATCACAAATCAAAGATAAGAGGAGAGAATAAAGACTCTCAGGTGCAAACTATTTTGATGAATTGGAAATTCATTATGTATCTTTAAACTGTACTGACAATGAACTTATCAACCTTTGTCAAAAGACAAAGGACAACACCAATTAAGCACAATACTAAGTAAATTTCAACGAACACCAAACTGTGCATGATTACAAGGTTATCACAGTTGGAAAAATCAGTTCATATACCTAATAAAAATTGAGTGCTACCTGGCTACTCAAATTTCTCCAATAATTTCAGTGAATAATGGAGATGAAGCTTTGAAAACTATTTTACTTGAAGTTTTAAAGGCAATGGGCTTTATCTTCCCACTAGAATAAAACTGATTTACCTGAAAAGGCATTTTCAAATAAAATCCAAGTTCTTAAAATGAGATAATTTCTACTGGTCACCTAAAAACAAAACTAGTAGAATACTTAGCATAAAAAATGAGAATGTGCAAAAGAATAATGCTGGCAATACGTGACAAATTCTTTGAAGAATTGTTTGCTGTGAAATAAAATTTTAAGGATCATTAATTTCTTTTGCTGCAATACCCTTCAAGGGAGCACTGGATTTAAGTCAAGATTGTCACCTGTCAACAAAGTGAATGGCGCGGGGGTGTGGATAAAAAGGGAGGGAGGGGGAAACAGAGAGAGAAGAGAGAGATTGAGGAAAAAGGATAGAAGAGTAGCCTTGTCCTCCCAGAAGATTATAAGAATAAATTTTGTGCCTCAGCTTTGGCACCTTTAAGGGCAGATACATAAGAAGTCATTATTAGGTTCTATTAATTTCAAACACCCAATTGTTTTCTATCCTTACATGTTGAGGACTTCCAGTGATGAGGGTACATCCACTCTTACAATCCCCTTACTAGAGACAACATTAACACAGAAAACAAATTCCAGCAATAATGGCCCTTATACTTGTTTTCACAGCTGAAACCTGCTTTAAACCACCATGAAGACTATCACTCCTGGCCTAACTTTCCCAGATTAGATGGAATCATCTCTGCACCCCTCTGCCCAGCCAGCTATTATAAGAAAACACTGTCCTGGTCAATTTGTTTTAAAACCTTTATGTACTTTAGCATTATTGTAGATTTACATGCAATTGTAAGAAATAATACAGAGCACTCTCATTTATCCCTCACCCAGGTAACAGCCTGCCTGACCACAGTACAGTAGCACAACCAGGAAACTGATGTTGACACAATTCACCCACGTGATTCAGATTTCATGAGTTTTACACACGCTCGTCTGTGTGTGCCTGTGGGTGTTAATTTAATGTGATTGTATCATATGCATCTATTCATGTAACCACCACCACCACAGTCAAGATACAGAAAAGTTCTATCACTATGGTGATCCCTCATGTTACCCTTTCAGTTGTGGTTATGTTTGCTGCTTGGAAGAGAAAGGTCTGCCTTAGAAAACATTCTGAAATACCTTGGCGTCTGCCCTGTTCCTTTTGGTCCACCTCCCTCACCCTGTGTGTTTGTATTTCACCAGGGAAATTTCCTCAGCTGACTGACAGAAGGACAGTAGTTGATTAAAGTAGTTCATACTTAGGTATGAACGACTCAAAGATCACTAACTTGGCCAGAAGTTGTAGTTTTATTTTTTTTTTAAGATTTATTTATTTTTAGAGAGAGAGACAGAGAGAAAGCAAGCAGGGGGAGGGGCAGAAGGAGAGAATCTCAAGCAGACTCCCTGCTGAGTGCAGAGCCTGAAGTGGGGCTCGATCTCAAACCCTGAGATCATGACCTGAGCCGAAACCAAGAGTCAGATGCTTAACTGACTGAGCCACCCAGGTGACCTCAGAAGTTACATTTTAAAACGGACACTTGCTAGCCCCAAATCCCTTTTTCTGGGTGGAGTTTTATGCAGCCTAACAAAATGAAATGAAACAATTCATATAGTGTGTGCAGGATAATTTGAGGCAAGATTATAAAACAACAACAACAAAAGGCCAGCCTTCTCTTAAAATTCGGCCTTATGATACGATCCTTTAAGCAGGTACTGATTTTTATAACCTCTTTTTTTGGGTCTACTTCTATATCTCAGGTTTTCTAGAAGCTTCACACACTTTTCCACAATCTTCTTATCAAAGTGGTATGGAAGAGAATGATAGAAGGAAGAGGGGAACGTCCAGCTGCAGATGTGAACATCAGGT